TGTAGGTTGGAGGGAGTAGGTTTCACCAGTTTATTTTCCTGGAAATCTTCTGGCAGATTCTTCCCTACGATGAAAAGCATCTCTCTTGAGTGTGTTCTTTCCTCAGATACAAGGTACACATGAACCATCTGGAAAGAAATTCAGCACCAAATAATGTTAGTTAACTCCTGCCTAGAGCAACGGATTGTGTTCCAGTGCCTTTCATTCTAGATGTAACAAGTTGCTTGCATTGATTAAAAGCCATATGATGTGCCATTGTGCTTTTTTGTTTCTTTTCCGATTTTGCAGCTATTCCTCATTGTTATTAAAAGTGATTCCTGAGTGTCAGACTCCCCAGTGCAGTGATATGTAGAGATAAGTTTAATTACGTGTTGAGAGTTTATAGGTGTGATGTTGTTAATAACATATTGTTCCTTTGGTGCAAATCTATACATTGACTTAATGCTCATGTTTGTGCTGGTTTTGCATGGTTGATTGTTGTAGACTCTTGCTTCATTTTGCTTACTGCAACAGAAAGCATGAAAACATTGCATCTCCTTAGCATCCGGGTTTATGCTTTAACTAACGTACAAAGGGAACCCACAAAAGATTGCCATTTGTGTCAGTATTTGAACCTTTCTCTGCTTTCAGGACTGTTCATCCCTGAAAATGCCCAATCTTGCCTCATGTCTTTGGGCTTGGGTGTTAGATTCCCATGGTATGTTTGTCTCACCATGCTCTTGTGTTTGGTCTCAGTCAGTAGTAGGCTTCTACGCCAGTTCTTGTCCTCATTAGCGGCTGTAGACTGTCCAAAGTAGCTGAGCAGCTCCAGTGGAATCCACTCTTTGACACCAAATTGAATCAAGCTTAAGCCAAGTCTTACAAAATCTAGAATATCTTGTTTGTTTTTACAGAATGCTTCTCATTCTTCTGCTTTGGTTTTGAAAGAGCTTAATGATCTTCAGATATTTTAGATGAGATACACCAATGGCAAGCAGAAAAAATGAGTTGGAGTGTGGGGTTTTTGTGTGTGTGTGCACAGTGTTTCTTTCACTTGCGAGTTAGGAATTACTACTATGGTGGAAATAACTGACTGTAGAAGTCTGATTTGCTTCATCATAATCTCTATATTTGTATTGGAGTATCAAATATGTTTTGCAGTATTTGCATTGCTGAAAGCTCCATGTTCCCTGGTGCTAGTGATTGATTTTGCAGTTAGAGAAAGAACAAAGTAAGATTACTATTTCTGTAATTATTCTTGATGAAAGTAAGAAAAGAGTTATCAAGTGCTAAGATGAGTTTATTCTACAGGGGTTTTCCCTAATCCTTTAAAACTATCTTTTGTGCTAATGTTGCCCTTAATTTCATCTGAAGGGTTTAAAGTGCATTGACAAATGAGCTGTGTGCAGATGGGTATTACTGCTCTACTTTGTTTCTCTGACAAGTGCTTGTACTGGGTATCTTAACTAGTAAGTCAGCAGCAAAATCTGTGGATGTGGGAGAAGCCCAGTCCTCACTGAGTAATCATCTGTATGACTGAATTCTACTGGCATAGAAATTTGCTTAAGAAAAACAAATCAGAAAATGCCTCCTTTAGTTGTAAAAGCTTGATGTGATGGACAGGCTTATTTTCTATCCTAGAGGCCTATTTCACTTTGTTTCTCCTTTTGGATTAATTTATCTGTCTGTGTATTTAAATGACAAACTACTCAATCTTCTGAAAAGAGCGATTGCACAGAGGCCTGATGATACCATGCATGACTGCTACTGTGGACTTGGGTCATTTATTACAGGAGGTGATTGCCTCAGCATCCTTCAGCGTTCCTTTCAGATAGTGTTTTGCAGTAGCTTTGTCAAAATGCCATCTGTCTCGACAGGTGAAAGTGCATAACTTCTTGAAACAGATGGCAGATCAGGCTAATACTGCCCAGAACCATCATTTGCTTGTTTGGATGTGCATAAGGTGATGTCCACTGGATTTGTTTTCTTTGCTTGGAAAGCAGAACAACAAAGTCGAGAGATTTTGTTTCTAAACAGCCCCTTTTTGTAGTGTTTTGAATGTGAGTTAAGCAAAATTGCCTCTTTCAATGTTATTTTTTATTCTGTCAAGCAGTTGAAATGTTCATTATTCATAGCTGTGAGAACAACTTCTATTTGTGTAAAACAGGTTATTATTAGTCAGCGATCTGCAAACTTCCTTGGCTCTCTGTTGTACTTTGTGTTCCTCATCTCCCTTCAATCTGACTATTAATTTCTATGGTTATGAAATATACAATGACGAAAGAAACTGCTTGCTTCTGTCTGGGTGTTACTCTAAGTGAAAGCTACAGCCTGTATTTGCCAAGAACTCGGAAGGACTTTGAGATGTTGTGCAAGTGCATGTTACTGCCTTTAGAAAAGCCTCTAGCATCTGCTTAAACTGAAGTATTCAACTTCACAGAACTTAGTTCAGTCTTCCCTTACCTACACTTCAGTCGTTCTGAAGAAAATGCATCTGCATCTCATCCTTTGAAGCAGTTGGCGTGACCGCCACGTCACTCGGGAAGCATTGATCCTGTGACTTCAGGTTCCTGTTAAATGCCTGGTGGTGGCATTTGCATCTGTCTGCATTTGTTGCTGTTGAGAACTGTTTATTACTGGGTTTATACGTTTTTATTCTACCTGCCATCATTTTACAGGTAGCCACATTTCCAAGGTTTATTTTGATATGTGTGCATCCCTACATTCCTATATAAAAAATAGTGCAGGATAATATAGTTGAATCTGAAGCTTTTAACTACTTTTTGTGCTTATGTCTCTGAGTAATAAAACTGCCTAACTACAGCTTTCTCTAACATAAAAAGCTGGTGAGCCTAATTTTTGTACTCTGAAAACCCTGGAGAACATCCTAGTTCACTTGAGGTCTCCGAATGTGTTCAACGTCCCTGTCATCTTCAGCTCATCAACATGAACATACTATGATTTCATCAGTTAAGTGGACAAGGAGGTGGTGAGGCTGGTGATGACTTTTCCAGGGTAGCTTGTTTTTTAATAGGACTGTTCTAGCAATGTTCTGTTCCACAGGATTTTTGTAACTCATTTCCAGCAAGGCTCTTGATATCTTTTTGTTATTAATTTTAAAAATGGTGCCTTCTTGTGCCCTGTTCTTGCTTTTCAGGCTGTTTTCTGGTGCTTTTGCAGTGTATTTTTATGCACTGCCCACATAATACACTTGTCTGTTAGAGGCTGCCTATGTTTGAAAGGCACATACTCAGTTGAATTTTGTATCTTTGAGAATCAGTGATTACAGAAATTTTAATGCATCACTTTGCTGCTGCCTTGGGGACGTTATCAGATGCTGTGATTCTTGGATCTCCTTCTACTATTTTGTGTACAGAACCATGGTGTTCTACGTCTCTCTGCCAGTGGTAAATACCACACAATGAATGAGAATGCTTTTGTTTGATTCAACTGATGTGCTTGCAACTGATGTGAATCTTTGGAGCGTGGCTTTGTTTTGGGAGCCCAGAGAAGTGTTCCAGTTGCAGTGTTTTCAGCGTTTGCTGCCCCAGTTGAGTTCCTCTCAACTTAAAATCAGGCAAAATATTTTTAGTGCTCTGTGTGCTGTCTCCATATTTCAAGCCATGGACTAGACTGAAATAGCAACCTTTGTTTTCACTGCTTTTCACAGACAAATAAGGACGTGCTGTTAGCATCTCCCCCCCCCCTCCATGCAGCTTACACACACATGCACACACTGCACAATTGCTCCTTCGCTGTGCCTCCAGCTGGAGGTGTGGGGGGATCTCCAGAATTTCTGTGGGTAGAAGAAAGTTCCAAATCAGGCAGCTCCAGCTGAGTCAGAGGCTGTTGGTACCTTCCCTTCCTGAGGTGGCAAAACAGTTGGAACAGGGAGGATGTACGATGAAGACGGTCATGCCCTTTCCCTGTCTTTTAATCCTTTTTAGTTCGGCAGCAGTAAATTCTGCTTTCAGACTGGAAGCAATATGCAGTACAACATAAAACTCCTTTTTGTCAAACTGATTTCCTTCTTAAACTGCAAACTCATATGTTTTTCTCAGTTGTTCTACAGGAGTTTACCTGAATCTCTGTGGTAAACAGCAATTGTAGGGATGCATTGTTGTTTCCACGATACGGGAAGCAGGGATGCAGTCACCTATTCTGTGTCAGTGTTACACTTGAGATATTGATTGCTGCAACAAGGCACATTTTAAACAGTGATTTAAAAACCTGTCTGTAAGAACTTGAGTTGGGAAAAAGAGAAATTGCTCCAGACTTCTGAGGATCTTGTTTGTCATTCCAATCTCGCACATCTGTGTTTAAGTGACATGTTCTCTCTGGTGTTGTATTTTAGGCTGTCCTTTTCCCAGCAATGCTACATAGAACTCAATTGATGTGTGGCAGTGAGGGGGAAGGGGAACACGTGTTATCAGGGTCTTTCTCTTACAGATGGTGTGTATTCTGTTTCCCATAAGCATCGCTTTATTCTCATCCAACTGGTATTACTATAGAAAGAACTTGCCTCTAACCACCATAAAAGCGTTTGGTAAACTAGCTCTGCAGCTGAGTTCTGAGATGTTATTACCTGGAACCAAGTCTCAACTTTTATTGGTAATTATGGT